CTAGAAGAGAACATAGAGATCTTTGAGTCTGGCACTTCCATTTTACAGATGGGACCACTGAGGCTCAGAAAGGTTAAGTGATTTGCCTGGAATCACAAAGATAGTAAGTGTTTGAACCCAGGTCTTCCTGACTCCCAGTCCAGTGCTCTACCCACTGCATTGTTATACCTCCCCAACTATTTAAAATATACTCATCTTAGGTCAGCCAGTCCCATTTCCTCCATAAAGCTTTTCCTATTCTAGCTTCATTGACCTACCCTTCTTCTTAACTCCTACAGAGCAGAAATCACATGGAGCAAAAGATAAAAGATGGGCTCATGGAATAATAGAGTCAGAGAATCAGAGAGGTGGGTGTTCTCAGAGGTCATCCAGAAGACAGTCTAACTCCAGGGAGAAACCTATAGGCAAAGATTTGTTTTGAACATAAAAACCACAGACAAGAGACTTTGCTGCAAAAGAGAAATTCCACTGCCTTAAGATGATTGCTTCTGACTGTTCAAGAAGGAGAAATGCAGAACCAAAGGGTTGGAAGGGGCTATTCTACTCAAGTCTTCAAACCCAACATGTGTCTAAGCAGGCAGAGGAACAACATCCCAAACAAAAATTACCCAATTTTCATTTGGGGACCTTCTCTGATGAGGAGTGTACTTCCATTCCACTTTGGGAACAGTTATAATTATGAGAAAAGTTTTCCTTACACTGAGCTAAAATGTGCCTTTCTTTAATTTCCATCCAATGTCCCTTGTTCTTCTCTCTAGGGTCAGATAGAAAGAGTCATATCCCTCTGCAATATGGTAGCCTTTTAAATATCTGAAGATGGGAATCGTGGCCCCCATTGTCATTTATTCATGAGGCTAAATACTCCCAATTCTTTCAATTAATAATTGAGGAAATGGTCACGTGGCATGATTTCTAGCACCCTCTGACTTTTCTGGACTTTCTCTAGTTTGTCAATTTCCTTCCTTAAACAATATCTAGAATTGAAGACGATAATTGAGACATGATGTGAGCAAGAAAATGCCTAAGACCAATACTTCACTAACAAAGGACTCAATATTTCTTGGCAAGGAAGGCTAATGTTATGGAAAGAATCTTGTATTTGTTGTATTTGCAGAAAAGACCTGCATTCCAATCCTGTCCCTGATATGTGCTAGCTATATGATCCATGGCAAGTCATATCTCTGAGCTTCAGTTTCCTCATTTGTAAAATGGAGATAATAATACCCTACCAATTCCATAGATTTGTCATGAGGAAAGGTTTTGGTAGATGTTAAAGTGCTCTGAACATGTGTTGTTATTATTAATACAGCCAAAGTTCATGTTGGTTTCCTCGGCTGTCATGTTTCATTGTTTACTGGAATTGAATTGACATTAAAACACACTTAAAATTTCCAAATCTTTTTCACAACATTTAGCCACATGTCCCCCATCCTGTACTTCTCCTGCTGATTTTTTGGACCTATGTGGAAAACTTCACATTTATAACTATTTCATTTATCTTATTGGATTGATCATGGTTCTAAACTGTTAGGAACATTAGGATTGATTCTTTCATCTAATGTGCTAGCTATCCCTCCCAGCTTCATGTAACAAGTCAATAAATTCAGTAAATATGTTCTCCATGCCTTCATCCAAATCATTTGTTAAAAAATAATGAATAGCAGCACAAAGATGAGAACAAAGTCCAGTATTACACCTCTAGTTGATACTGATTGACACATTTCATCATTCTCTGGGTCGCACCATTCAATCAATTTCATATTCACCTAACTATTCTATGATCCATCCCACTTTATCTTGTGCGCAAGGATACTATGAGAAATTTGTCAAATATCTTGCTGATATATAACACTGTGTCCACAGCATTCCAATGATCTACAATGATGTTTTAGGCCAGCAAGACTTGTTGATGCTGATGACTGCCGCCTTTTTGAATTCTCTGGAGCCATCCTTTAATACTACATTTTAGAATTTTACAAGGAATTGAACTCCAACTTGAAGGCCTAAACATTGTTTGTCTTCTCCATTTTGAAAATCAGGGCATTTTCCTATGTATAATCCTGCTACACCTCTGCCATCCAAATGATTTTTCAAAGAACATCAATAGCATCCCATCAATCACTTCTATAAGCTCTTTCTATATCTGGGATATATTTTAGTTTGATCCTTATTATTTGAAATCATAGAGGGCAGTTATCTGTTCTCTTACCATGACCTCTTTTATCTTGGGTTTCAATTCTGTGTTGACACTTTCAAGTCTGAAGATTCTCCTTAGAATAGAAAACAGAAGTGCAATTAGAATTAAGTAAGGGACAACTACTGTCCCATCTGCCCCAAAGCAATAGTTGTATTCCTCCTCTAATCTTCCACTTCACCTTTTTTTTGTTGTTTTTTAAAGAATGCTTTACAAGTATTAGTCTTTTCTAGAATTTAATATTCTTTGCATTTTTATAGGGCTTATTCCTCAGTCACCTGATCCAATGTCCATCTTTGCTATATTCATTTTTTTTTAAATTTGAGATTGTTAATGAGTTCCCTGTGCAACCATACCATTTTTTTTATTTATTCTTTCTTCCTCATCATAATCATTTGTATTTGTGTCATCATAATTTCATTTTTTAAAACTTCTCTCTGGCTGATTTCCTTTGTAGAATATTATGCCTTGGGATCCTACCAATCGTCTCTGTGAACTCATAGAAACCTGTGCTCAGAATATCATGAGACTAAATCTGGTATTCCTGTCCTTAGCTATCACAAGATCCAAGATGATGCTTCCTCCCAAGATTCTGATAATTTTTATTTTGGTAACCAGTTATTCTTTCAATCAGAATGGATGCAAGTCTTATTATCCCTTTCTTGAGCATATTCTTCCTCCTCAGGTCATCACATATCTACCCACTGATTAATGTGCTGTATCCCCCACAGTAGAACATAAGCTACTTGAGAGCAGGAAGATTTTTGGAATGTTTTCTATTTTGTTTTTGTATTCTCAGCCTATTATAGTACAATGTCCTGCACATAAAAAGCACTTAATAAGTGTTTTGGGGGTAGATTAAGTTACCATCAGAGTAAGCATGGGCATCAACATTGTACAGGGGAAAGAATAATAAACCTTAGAGTCCTAAGACCCAAATTAGATTCCCATCTTTGCTACTGACTACTTGTGTGAACTTGAGCAAATCACTTTACTTTTCTTTGCCTCAGTTTCTTCACTTGTTAAATGAGATCATTGGACTTCATGACCGCCAAGGTCCCTTCCATACCTAGAGCTATAGTCTCTTTACGAAGAATGTATAAGCTGCTCTGCTTTTCATAGAGAGAGCTCCAGTAGATGTCTAAATGGTTTAAAAGTCCCCCATCACTACTATATTACCAGGAATAGCTTTATGATCCATTTCCAAAATTCACCCTCCAATTTCTCCTTCTCTCTAAGTGGTAATCACAATATCACTTCAGTTTCTCCCCTCCCCCTCACATATACTGTTCCTTATCCAAATGTTCTCCATCCTGCTTCTTCATTCTAGGTCATGTATTTCCACACAGTCATATATACAATGACACTTTTGATATACAATGATACTCTGCCTTTTATTCTGTTCCCTCTGAATTAGGGATCTCCTTGCAATTTTCTCATTTTTAGTTGAAAAAAAAAACCACCCCTGAATCTCAGAGAAATGAAGAAACTTATCCAAGGTTTCACAGGTTACAGAGCAGACATTCAACCCTAGTTTATCTGACATCAAATCCACTATGACTCCAATGGAATTCTCAAGATTGTCATTTTTAAGCCCAGTGACATTGTCTTTGGCACCTGGGGGCACCAGTGTGCACATTGCTCTTGGAGGATGATTCTGCCGTTAGACTACATCCACTGGAACCTAGATACCCAACAGACAGAAAAGCATGGAAGACAACTCCAATTGCCACAGTCACATCAACATTGGGACATAATGGGACATATGCCTCCTGGGAAATTAGTCACAAGGAATTCTATGTCTGAAGCTTGAGGAAACACTTCTTAATTGTCTGAGGAACATTCATTGCCCAGCTTCAGGGGCTCTGACTTGATCCGTTCAAGAAAAAGGAGGTTGACCATTTCTTTCTGCAGAGATCTCAGTTGATTTACTACTAATACTTGCAAAGCTATCCTGTGCAAAATGGCAAAGTAGGAGCCTTCAGTTTGTTCACATCCACCTTCTGTGACTGTTTTTCCTCACCATGAACTCCAGTTACATCATCCTCTTCTCTCTTCTCCCATCTTCCCACCTCCTCAGACATCTTTCTGCTAAATTCTGGAAGAACTATTTGAAACTTATTTATACTAAGAAATCATGGTTTTAATGTATTATTCTAACACCCCTAGGGGACAGTGCTTATCCCTGGGGAATGAACAATAATAGTTCACATTTTCATAGCTTTAAGTCTTGAAAAGCACATTTTCTCCAACCACTTTTTGAAATAGGGAGTGCAAATATGATTGTGCCTATTTGACAAATGAGAGAACTGAGGGTCTGAGAGGTTAAATGATGCAGTATGTCCAGACTAGTCACCTTTCCCTAGAGCAGGGGTTCTCAACCTTTTTTTGGGGGGGTGGGGAGAGGGGTATCATGGATCCCTTTAGCAGTTTGATAAAGGCTATGGACTGCTTCTGTTTTAAAATAGTTGAAGAAAATGCTAAATTTCAGTTACAGATTAGTAAAAGCAAAAATTCATAGACTCCCCCCACCCTGAAATCTACCCGTTAAAAACCCCTGTTCTTTAGATAAGAGGAGGGATCCATCCGTAGAAATAACAACTACAGCTAACATTTACATAGTACTTGAAAGTTTCTAAAACATTTTACCTACATAAACTCCCCTGGCCCTCAGAACAATCCTGTGCTGTAAGTAGTACAGGTAGCATTATTCCCATTTTACACATATGAAGAAATTGAAACTCAGAGTGATTATGAAGTCACATAGCTAGTGTCAGAGGCAGGACTGAAGCCCAAGTCTCTCCTGACTCCAGGCTCAGTATTTTCCCCTACAAAACACTGCATTTCTGATGAACCCATAGGTCTCACCACTAAACATGAGGAAATGAAGAAGCATAAGGTGGGAATGAATAGGCTGTGGCATATGCTCAATGAAAACCTGCTTCCAAAAAGTGGAGTAAGGAATACTATTGAGCAAATGTCTGACCAAAAAAGGAAAGGGGATGGTCAAGTTCTGGGAACAAGGGAAGCCAGGTGCAAAGACTTAATGCTGCACTACTACTTTTGAAAAGTGTATTTTTAAAAGACCTAGAGGAAGGCATCCAGCACATTATCTAGATCATCTGTGGTTAATTTGTGTGAGAATATGGACAAGAATTGCATAAATTGAGATGTTTGGAGGGGTTGGGATCAGCATGGATGGAGGCACCATCCACATTGATAGGTTGGGATCAGCACTGATAGAGGCACTAGCCACATTGATAGAATTACATATCCATGAAAGTATCAGTCCCCTCTTAGTATAAGCTTTGTCTCTCCTTTAAATCTGGACATAAATTGTTATGTTAAGTGGCTCTCCCAAGTTCACAGAGCTAGTATGTATCAGAAGTAGAACTTAAGTGTAAAGTCTTCAGATTACGCAAGATCTAAGTTGAATTTTTGGCATTAGTGGCAGGCAGAAAGATGTTTTGAGAAAGGGGGACTTTCCGCAACCTTTCAAATTATACCAGGTAGGCAACCACTTATTAATAATATTAACCCTGGCTCAAACCTCAGTGTCAGAAATGGCCTGGGAAGTGCACTGTGTTGGTTTCTTGTCTCAGAGGCCATAGTTCTCTAGTGTCTGCTAGCACTTTCCCTGAGGGAGCCTATAAATTAGAGACTTGCTGGCACTGAATATACCTTTTGCTCCACATCAGCAAAAAAAAAAAAAAAAAACAAAACAGATTGTAATCTAATCTCTCCCTTCCTAGTTTCCCAGGAGATGGAAAGGAGCTGGGGCAGGAGGTGGGGGGGTGGAGAGAAAGGAGTTGCCTAAATGTCTTTACAAAACCTATCTGAAGACACAAATTATTTACATCTTATTTCATTCAGCTGCCCTGTCTATCTAAGACCTTTACCAGTGCATTCAGAGCAAAGAATAAAATATTTTCCCAAAGGAGATTATAGACTAGGATAAAAATTGCCCATGTCCCTGTCCAAGGTGCTAGGTAAAGAGACAAGGAAAGACAAAGCTACCAGGTCTAATATGGCTTGTCATTTTTCTGCCTTCTAATTTAGAGGTGGGGTGGGACAGAGAATATTGGGGCTGGAGCTGGGACTAGGGAGAGGAGGAAGGAGTAGTGAAAACTCTCTGGCTTTGAGATAAATTGGCACATTTGCTGAAAACAGAGAGGCGTGATGCCTCCAGGGTTATATTGATTCCATATGTGAGCACAAGCTATTGTGAGAGTTGGGTGATGGCTAGACATAAGTGTTTCCACCTGTTTGTAGCACTACAGTAAGAGAAGGAGACATGAGGGCCACATAGGATGAAAAGGAGCATGAAAAAGGCCATTCACTTCCCGGAGCTTAGCAGGTATTTACCTCAGCAGCTGTCTGAGTCACTCAAAGTCTCCAACCAGAGTACTTAAGTCTAGGTATCACATACCTGACCTCAACTACAACAAATCTTGATTAAGCACCTGCTGTGTGTGCAGAACTCTACTTGTTCTTAGGAGGAGATACAAAGTACAGACAAGACACGGTTTCCTAATCTCGTGGAGTTCATAATATAGCAAGGGGATAGACACATATATACAAATACTTCCAATATAAAATGCTATGTTACATAAATACATCAGTCAGTAAATATTTTAAGCACTTACTATGTGCCAAGCACTGTGCTGAACACTAGGGGCACAAAGAAAGGCAAAAGACAATCCCTGTTCTCAAAGAGCTCACAATCTAATCAGTAAGTCAACGTGAAAATGACTGTGTATAAATAAGCTATGTACAGGATAATTTGTGAGTAATCAACAGTGAAAGTACTAGAATTAAAGAGGATCAGGAAAGGCTTCAAATAGAAGGTGAGATATTAGCTGGGACTTAAAGGAAGCCAAGGAAAACAGGAAGTAAAAGTGAAGAGGGATAGCATTCCAGGCATGGAGGACAGCCAGAAATTGAGAGATAGAGGGTCTTGTTTGAGGAACAGCAAGGAGGCCAGTATCACTGGATCACAGAGGATGTGGATATAAGGTGTAAGAAGACTGGGGGAGGGGGGTAGGTTAAAAACCAGACAGAGGGTTTTTACCAAACCAAACCCAAAACCTGAAGGTTACAAGGAGCCGCTGGAGTTAATTAAATGGGAGATGGTCAGATGCTCGAAAAAATCACTTTGGACTAGAGTGGGGAAAGACTTGTGACAGGCAGATCAAGTAGCAAGCTATTGCAATAGTCCAGGTATGAGGTGATGAGGGCCTGAGCCATGATGATGGCAGTGTCAGAGGAGAGAATGGAGCATATTTGAGAGAAGTTACAGAGGTAAAAGTCAATGATCTTTGGCAACAGATTGAATATGGGAAGTGAGAGAAAGAGAGGAGTCATGGCTCACACATTGGTTGCAAGCCTGGATTACCGGGAGGCCGGTGGTACCCTCAACAGTGGTAGGGAAATTATAAAGAGGGAAAGGTTTAGGGAGAAAGAAAGGGGTTCTGTTTTTGGACAAGTTGGGTTTAAGATGTCTATAGGACATCCTGTTCTGGATGTCCAATATGCAGTGGGAGAAGTGAGACTGGAGGTCAGGAAAGAGAGATTAAGACCAAATAAATAGATTTGAGAATCATCAGAATAGAGATAAAATTTGACAGCTGATGAGATCATCAAGTGAAATAGTATAGAGGGGGGCAGTTAGGTGGCACAGTGAATAAGAGCTCTGGCCTTGGAGTCAGGAGGACCTGAGGTCAAATCCAGCCTCAGACACTTAATACTTACTAGCTGTGTGACCCTGGTCAAGTCACTCAACCCCAATTGCCTCACCAAAAAGCAAAAAAAAAAAGTATAGAGGGAGAAAAGAAGAGGGACAAAGAGATACAAACTAAATATCTTTCAAAGTTGGAGGTGAGGAAGATCATTAATGATGTGAGAATTAGGAGAGACTTCCTGGAGGAGGCAGTATTTGAACTAGGTCTTTAAAAATGGCAAGATTTCCACAGTTAAAAAGGTAAAGTAAGGCTTCCTCCTTCTCTCCTTCCTCCTTGCTTTCCAACCCCTTCACAAGCAGTGAAGGATGAGAGAACATTCCAGAAATGAATAACAAAGGCAAGACAGACAGGACATGAACAGGGGATGGTAAGTAGTCCATTTTGGCTGGTGCATAGAATACATAGACAGGCGGTCTCTCCTGCCTTGGCAGAAAGACCTTTCACCAAGAGGATAAATCATTGTTCTTGTGCTAGGTAAGCTGAGGAATAAGTGAACTGGAATTACATATAGATCTTGGACCTACTGAAATTCCAGTAACAATGCTCAGGTCCCTCACCCAGCTTCTGAGGAACAGAAGTAATGGGCTAAAGATCCTCAGCAAAACCATAAAGTTTCGACTTTGTGTTTCCCATTCCTCTGTCAGTGCTCTTTCCCTACTCTAGCCTCCTTGGTTGTTGAGTCATTTTTTAGTCATGTCTGACTCTTCGTGACCCCATTCGGGGTTTTCTTGGCAGATACTGGAGTGGTTTACCATTTCCTTCTCCAGCTCATTTTACAGATGAGGAAACTGAGGCAAACAGGGTTAAGTGACTTGCCCAGCTAGTAAGTGTCTGAGGATGGCTTTGAACTCAAGAAAATGAGTCTTCTTGACTCCAGGCCCAGCATTCTATCCACTGCACCACCTAGCTGCCCCATTCTAGCCTCCTACCATACTCCAAGTACTCTGTTTTCCACCCATCCCCTTACCTTCCCCTTATTAGGAAGAAGAAGGATCTGATGATCTGACTCTGAATTAATTTAATATGTTCATCCTCCCAAAAGTATTTCTACTTTAAAAGAGGACTTTAAAGGAGAGGGAACCAAAGGAATGCCTTATAAAGATGGAGGTTCAAACTCTATGTCAAAGGAGTGGGGATAGGGATGGGGGATATTATTGAATGGGAAAAGAAGCTCCTTGATGCCTTCAAATCACATTTCAAGCCCATTTGAAAAAAATGAAGTTTTGCATTAGTCTGAATACATGGAAAAAGTCAAAAGGATTTTTTTCTGCCACTGGCAGCTAGAGTATAATACAGCAGGAATTGGTTGTCTACATGTGTGTCTCCATATGTGTGTCCTCATCACACAGGTTCTCTATATCTCTACCCTCCCTCTACTAGCTTCTGGTTTATGGAGGGTGCTTTCCAAATGTACATAAGGGGATCTTATCACTTTATCTCCTATGTTTTTTGATTACATGTCTTTTGTTTTGAACTGTGTTCTCTGGAAAAGAGCTCATCTGCCTGGTCTACCTGGTAAAGGTAAACACATCCACAGGAGCTAGTGAGCTATGGTTTAGAGTAGCTGCTGGTCAACTCACTGTGTGCCTCAAACCTGGGGGTAGCTTTTCTGGGCAAGCATTGTGATACAGGTGTTCCCGCTGCTACATGCCTATACCTCCTACGGCTAAGACAGCAGATGAGAGAGTCTATGTAACAAGCTCAAAGCCCTGATAGAAAAGAGAGAGAAAGGATGAGTTCAAACCACATGCCCATCCATGATGAAAAGAGAGAAGGAGACCTTCCCAGAGAGGTAGAGGAAGAAAGAGAGAAGAGAGGCAGAGGCCCAGAGAAAAGGAATGTCCAGAAGAAAGGATCAAGGGAGGGAGAGATTAAACAAAACACACACAAAAAACCAAACACACACAAAAAGCCTTCAGCAGAGACTACAAATGAATTAAAGTTGTTATGGCAACCGGAATTGTGTGGGCGGGCTCTCCTGCTTCCTGAACTCACACAATTAAAGTAAGCTTTCTTCAAGTTGGCTAACTAATTAATAATGCCTTCCAAATATGTCTAATCTCCTAGCCATCATTCATCCTGTTTCCTGTGAGGAGCTGTTTATTCATACATTTATTTATTTATTTATTCATTTGTCTGTCTCTCTATGTTTGTGTGTATGTGTGTGTGTGTGTGTGTGTGTGTGTGTCTTTGCTTACTTGTTTAGCTTGTCTGGAGGGCTGGTTCATTAACCTGCTCTCTGAGTGGGGATGGAGTTAGAACACTTTGCCCACACTGGGCCAATGCCAGTTCTAGGAGTGGAGCAGGCAAGACCCAGAGATGTCACTTCATTTCTCCCCTCAGGCTGGAAGGCAGTGGAAGTCAGGGTCACCCAAAATACACTGTATTGCATTATAACTCCCTTCCCTTCTGCACCCCTTCCCAGATTCCAGGTGGAAAAAGGACATGGTTGAACAAAAGATGGAGGAAAGATAATTTCACAGGATCCTAGGTTCCAATTTCTCCACTGACCCATTGGATGACCACCAAATGAGGCAGGTGGAGGAAACAAAACCGCTGGGTTGTTTTGGGGCTTAAGGGGGCAGGTATCGGGGTGAGTATTTTTTGTTTAGTTTTTTGCTTGTTTATTATTTAACAAATAAAAGAGAAACTTTGCTAGAAATAGGATGCAGCATCTTAGCTGATCTTCCCTGGGGAAATGCATTACCCATAACAGTGTACGAAAACAGAGCTCCACATGCAGCCTCAGCCAGCTGGCAGCAAGAGGCCCTGCTCAATCTCCCCAGGGAAATAAATTCCAATGTATATGTATCTCTGTCTATATATACATACACAGAAAAGGTCAGACTGCATCTCCTTGAGAGCTCCCTTCACTTGAAATTAAACAGCCATGGTTTAGGTGTTGACTCCTCAGCAAAAGAAAAGAGCAAATGAATTTTGGAATTCTGGGAAAACCTGGGGATCACCAGCTGGACAGAGGACCAGGGCAGCAAGGAATGTCAGCCTAAGCCAATGGATATGAAAATGAGCCAATCTGGAGCCAAGAGAAGCCAATCCCCACGTGTAGAAACTGAAAGCCCAGTGTTACCTGTGAATCATCACAAGTAAAGTACAGACAGAAAGGCAATGTTCTCATCTCTTCCCTTCATAGTACTCAGCACAGTGCCTAGTACCTAGTGAGACCTTAATAAATGTTTATTGACTGACTGACTGACTTCACTTCAAAACTAGCCCAGTTTTACAATAATAAGTCCTACTATGTGTGACATTTATAATTTAAGAATGAAAGGAAAGGAAGCATCCCCTTACGTCACTTAGGGCTTGGCTTGGTGGCCTGTTGAGTGAACAAGTGTTGAATGGAGCGAATCAGTGTGGGTCGTGAGTTCTCTTCTAGGATACTGACATGGGGAGTGCACCCTTCTACAGCCCAGTAGCCCCTCTCCCATGAGACCACTCCACTTCCTCCTGAACCACAGAGGTCATTTGAACTCAGCCACAAACATTCATGAAGTGGGTGGGAAGAACAGTTCCCATGAATCCCACCTCCTCCATGAACACTTCCTTGAAATGGGAAGACCAGTGGATCAAAAGTCAGGATTACTGGGTTCCTGTTCCAACTCTGTCACTAACTCTGTCATCTTAGGCAAGTCACAACATCTCCACTTTCTCACTACTCACTCACTCCCTCGACTTCTTATGATACTGTTGACCAGCTGACTTCTTTGACATTTCTTCCTCCCTTGGCTTCAGAGACAACAAACTCTCTTGGTTATCTTCCTATCTCTCTAATCAATCTGGTTCTATCTCCTTCACTGGCTCCCCTTCCTCTTTCTAATTCCTTTAGGTTCCTCACAGTTGTCCTTGATCGTATTCTCTTCTCTCTCTATACCCGTCCTCTTATTCCCATGGTTTCAGTTATTACCACCATAAAGATAACTCCCAACTATTTATTTACTGCCCTGTCCACTACACTAGGTTCCAGACCCTTATCTTCACCTGGTTTCATCATATGTATCTCAAATTCAACATGTCTAAAACCAGATCAATGAATTTACCTTCAAAACTAATTCTTCCTTCCACTTCTCCATTCTATCAAAGATATGAGCATTCCTTCAACCTAATATCCAAACCTGACTCACTTCTATCTCACTTCTCCTGTCCATACACTTGTAACATTCTTTTGATTCTATCCTTTAAAATACCTTTCACATCAATACCACTCTTCCTGTTCCCACTGCCACCAACCCAGAGAAGTTCTCATTATCATCCATCTGAGCTCCTACAATAACTTCCTTCTACCTGTTCTCTACATCTTTTGGAGACTTCTCTCTGCCATCCAATCCAGCCTATAGACCACTGCTGGGTTAATAGATCATATCACTTTTCTGTTCAAATCCCTTCAATATTTCCCTCTGGTCAACTTAATAAAGTCCAAACTGTTTAATAGGTTATTAAAAGCCCTCCAGGGTCACAGGATCATAGATTTAGATCAGGAAAAGACTATATCAATCAATCAACACATATATATGGAGCACCATTAATATGCTAGACAGGGCAGCTAGATGGTGCAATGTATAGAGTCAGGAAGACTCATCATCCTGAGTTCAAATATAGCCTCAGATACTTACTAGCTGTGTGACCCTAGGCAAGTCTCTTAACCCTGTTTGCCTCAGTTTCCTACCATTTCCTTCTCTAGCTCATTTTATATATGAGGAAATTGAGGCAAACAGGGTTAAGTGACTTGCCCAGGGTCACACAGCTAGTAAGTATCTGAGGCCAGATTCGAACTCATGAAGATGAGTTTTCTTGCCTCCTGACTCCAGGCCCGGCATTCTATCCACTATGCCACCTAACTGCCCTTGATATCATTAGCGCTGTCAGTCATCATCCTGGGAAACAATCATGGAGATGCAGCCCAACAATTGCTCCTGCTATAGCCACAGGTACTGAAGACTCAGAAATTCGGAAGGTTCTAGCTACCAAAGATCTTGGCATTTTCCCATTCTTTGCCACCTCAAAGAACTACAAATATTCTTGTTCATCCTTAGAGTTTGTTTTGCTTAGGACTAATCACTCTTTTGATTTACCTTCCCTCCCCACTTCTCCCCTTGCTTTCCAATTTCCCTATTGAATGAAATGTATTTCTGTACCTAATTGTGTATGTGGGTGTGTATTCTTCCTTCTTTTGACCAATTCATATGAGACTGAGGTTCAAGGATTGTTCTCTCCCTCCCCATGCTCCCTGCTTATTTGTTGAGATGTTTGCCAGTATATTCCTCTTCCCTTCTCTTCCCACTCATTTCTTAAAGTCATCAATATATAACAGAACCACTCCCATGCTTTGCCTAAATGACTCTTTCTATGGTCCTTGATGGGCTGCTAGGTGGTACAGTGGCCTCAGACACTTACTAGATGTGTGCCCCTGAGAAATCATTTAACCCTGTTTGCCTTCAATTTCCTCATCTATAAAATGAGATAGAGAAGGAAATGGCAAACCACTTTGCCAAGAAAACCCCAAATAGAGTCATGGAGAGTCAGATATGATTGAAATGACTTAACAACATCAACAACAGTCAGAGGCCATCTAGACCAACCCATACCAGAAAGGAATGTCCCCTAAATATATCTGACAAGTAATATGGGGTCAAGACCGCTAATGGGTGTGTGAGGCCAGATTTGAACTCATGAAGATGAGTCTTCCTGATTCCAACCCAGTGCTCTATCCACTGTACCACCTAGCTGCCCAGATGGCTTCTGAAGGCACTTCCACCTCAAAAAATTTCGTGATTAAGTGAATAATCCTTAAAACTTCCACAGCCCCATCCCAAAAAGCGAAGGGATAAGACAATGAATTTCCACTTTACTCCTTCCTTTTGCTAGGCTCCTATTTTGTATAATCTTTCACTTTCTAAGGCTGCCTCTAACCTTTATTATTTTAATATGATTTCACCTGGATAAACATGTGGGAGGAGAAAAACACCATATGCGAATTCTAGAGGGATATTCCTTGGCCCCACCATCCCTATGAAGGCTGCTTCTCCAGAAAATATCTTCTGTATTCCCTTCCAGGGCTCATCTATTCTGACCTTTATCTGTAAACACAGAGCTCATTCTCTTCCCTTGTTCCCCAGGTGCAGAGAAAGCATCAGCTCACTGCAGCACCTGTATAGAGGTGGTGAAGTAGGAAGCCCAGTTTGAGGGGTGCCAAGAAGGGCTGTGCCATCCAGAACTGTTCCCATCTGATTATATTCTTTCCTTGCCCTTTCTATTGGATGGAATGGTGGTGAAATTTGAGACATTGAGCATTTGCCTTAACACTGAAAAAAGAGCCAAGAATAAGCATAACTAAAGCCAAGTCCCCATCGGAGACTGCTGAGTGTCAGGGGAGTATGAGTCAGTCCCTGGCACAACAGAGTCTTCAGAAAGGGAGAAAATAATGGCAGTCCCCCTTCCAAGCTTCACTTCTCTCCCATATATAATATAAGCCTTGCCCTGCCTCTATGGATAATCTCTTAAGGTCAAGGAAAGGAACATAGAAAGCCCCAGGGGATGGAGGCAGCCAGAGCTGGAACACTATACCAGTTATCTTTCTGATGGAGCCCCTCACCCCTCCATCAGGGAAAGAATTGGAACCATTGTACTCTGTGATTAGAGACCACAGAAGCTTCCCGTTCCAGACCCTCTTGATTGGGCTTCAGCTTGGAAGCCAAGACTTCCTGCAGCCCAGACACCAGCTAACTCAACAAGGCACATTGTTTTACTGGGGGAAATATGAGGGGAGAAGGGCAGGAGGTACCTGGGGGAACATGGCTCCCTAGCTATATGGACACTTTCCTCCCTGCATCACTGAGGTGGTATGAACCACTCTCAGAAAGATTCTCTGGCTTGCCCTTGATGAAGTCAGTGGCAAGCTTCCCACCAGCCTTAAATATGATCCTTGTATCCAGAGAATGCTTAGAGAAAGATTATGAGCTCTTCTTTTACAGTAATACTTGGTACCTATAGTACCATTAATGTTTCACAAAATCTTCACATCTTTTTTTCCCCTCACTTTATGTTCACAATAATCCTGTTACAACAGGAGAGAAAATAGAGGTCCATAGAGGTCAATACCTGACTAGCAACAGAACCAGGACAAAAACCTTAGATTCAGGGTGTTGAAGTTGAAAGAGTATGGGATCAGGAGGCAGAAGACTGAGTTTTCTGTTATTAACTCTGTGTGTGATCTCAGGCAAGGCAGTTCCGCAGTCTGGACATCAGATGCCTCATTTGTAAAATGGAGAAGCTGGACTAAATGATCTTTAATGATCTCCATTTAGGGAGAGAGCTCAGTTTAGACATTGTTTCACTTCTCACCTGGCTGCTCTACTTGAGAAATTCTCTGTTTTCCACCATGCCTCTGCAGCAGGTACCCTTCCTCTCTCCTCCCCCAGCTTTTCTTCTCTGTATTTGTATCCACAGGACTTAGCATAGTACCTGGTACACAGAAGACAATTAATGAATGTTTATTGATCAATTGACTGATTGATTGATATAAGGTTCCTCCTAGCTCTAATAGTGCATAAGTCTCCTAACTCATAGTTCAGTGCTCTTTCCAGGAGGCCACAGTGTAGGCATCAATCCAAGGACTGTGTAACAAAAGCCAACATGAATAGCTGGTGTGTTTGAGAGCAGATGTGAGTTTCACACTTAGCAAATTGGCAAACATAACAAAAGCTGGAAATTGTCAATGTTGAAGATGCCGCAAAAAATATCAGAACATTCATACACAGTAGGTAGAGCTATGAACTGATCTCAATGAACATTCTAGAAAACAATGTGGAACTTTTTCAAGTAACTAAAATGTCCATACCCTTTGGTCCAAGGATCTCACTGCCAGTCATATAACCCAAAGAGGTAAGAGAGGGAAAGAAGGGCTCCAAACATGCCAAAATATTCATAATAACACTTTTTATGGTAGTAAAAAGTTAGAAACAAAGTAGATTCCCATTGACTGGGCAATGGTACAAATTTTGGTACATACATGCTATAGAATATTACTGAGCTAAAAAATTTACGAATTCAAAGAATTTGGAGAGACATATGAACTGATGCAGAGTGGATTAAGCAGAACCTGGAAAACAATGCACACAATTACTACAATAATGTTAAAGGAAAGAATAACAACAAAAAGAAAAAAATTTTGCAAGAAGAGATGAGAAAGTGTACCTCCTACCCCTGTTTTTTTCACAGGGGTAAGGACAGCACTATAGATGTAGAACATTACATATACTGACAGATTTAGTGTGTTTGTTAATTCTGCTGAACTTCTTTAAAAAAAAAACTTCATTGCATTTCTCATAAGTTAGTAGAGAATATGGGCATATATTCAGAATTAAGGAAACTAAAAACATAATATAATGGGCAAATTGGGCAATGAGGGTCTAGTCCTTAGAGAATGATTAGATTTGCCCTTCCTGGTAGGTTATATGAAGCTTGCACAGATATTCTATGAAACTGATACCACTCGAACAATGTGGACCTTTTCAGCTATGTGTCATTGACGGCCTAATACTACATAAGGAAGAAAAGTCTTCTAATTCACTGTGGAGCTAAAAGAACTGATGGCGTAGGGGGCACTAAGCTAGATCTGAATTCTCATACAAAAGGGACCACTCACTGATCTCTAAGTTCTCAATATTTTTCCATCTTGGGAGCTAGTAAGGCAAGAATTTCTGTGAGCTTTCAGGTTGGGGAAAAGGTGGCTACTCTAGCCATCACCCAAATGCCACGTGTCCATCAATCAATCCATAAACATGTATTAGGTCCCTACGATATGCCAGGCATTTTGCTAAGAAAATGAGCACTTCTGCTTATTTTGTTTATATTTTCTTGATTTTAGGCGAATTCAGATATTTAATACTCAGAGACTATGTGAGCTTAGAAGATCCATCAGAGCTGTTAGAGGTTCTACCAAGCAACCAAAGTTGCCAGCTAAGTCCACCACAGGTGGGGAGCAGTGTCCACCAGAATGATAATAGACAGAGAGAAAGTACTGCAGCTGGAAATGGAGAAATGGACCTGAGGACTGCTACGATTCCAGGCAGAAGTATTGGCTATAGACTATAGAAAGGCACCAGTTCTCAGAGCCTAGCAGAGAACCACATATAAGGAAAACTTCATGAGGATTCAACAAAGGGAGGAAAGGACTCCCACGGCCCAAAATCTTGAGATACCACCTCACCATGGACCTACAGGGTCTCTATAAATGTGCCTCACTTTGTCTTTAAAATTGATCCACTCTCCCCAAGACCTTGTGTGTGCAAGAGGAAGAGTGTGTCCCAGTTTGAGGGTCTTTTTTTGCACCAACAATTCTTGCTATACCTTCTCAGTAAACATTGTTTGTAAAAGCTAATGGAGTTAAGCTGGTTGGTTGAAAATAGGTGACACACTGATGGGGATTTAGATGCTACAATACTAGAAACCCCAGCCCCTCTGTTGCCACCTAGAGATCCCTGAGCAGAATAGTAATCATCAGCTGCCTTCTGGTGGTCCAACATGCCAGAGTGAGACCTGGGAAAATAAACCCAAAATGGGTGTTACAGAAAGATATCATTTTTAAAAAATTTAAGTTTGCATGAGGTATCAGAACCTTGAGTTAACTTATTCCCTGTCAGTTATGTAAGATTTGTGTCCTCTAACCAAAGGGCCATGAGCCCTGATCTTCCTTTACTTCCTTTTTTCTTTAAAAACCACCGTGCTCTATTTAAGGTCTTAATGACTTTGAATTGTCATGTCAGTCCTCTGTAACACTGACCTGGCTTGCTTACTGCCTTCCCAGCTGTGGCCTGACTACTAAGAAGTCTGTGTTTATGATCCCTGGTCTGATTGTTCCTGCTGGGCTGTGACACGCTGCTGCCTCCATTATGAAAGCATAAAACTATGAGAGAAGCTGTCAGGCCACTATTCTCCAGTCTGTGTCCTGGACGAGGAGAGACTTTACATGTGGCCCAGTTTAAAAAAAAATTAAGCCCCTAAACACTTCCCTTCAATAGTTTCCTCTTAGCCTATATCTTCTCTCCCTCTCTGAGAGAGTTGATCTGAGTAGGAAGCAAGGAAGAATGAATCCAGGGTGTGGCTGAGAAATGTTCCTAAAAATGTAAGTACTGCGTTGTCTAAAGCAAACATTTTGCAGATAAGTAAATCCACACAGAGGAAAGCAGAAGAGAGAGGAAGCTTTTTTGTTTGTTTGTTTTGTTTGGTCAGAGAAGGCAGAACTAGTAGCAATCAATGGAAATTACAGAGAAGTTCATTTAGGCTTGATGTCAAGTAAAAAAAAAGTCATAACAAAATAAGATACCCAAAAGTGTAATGGACTCTCTCTAGATTCAGTGACTTCCTCTTCACTGAATAATGTCAAGCAATGACCGGATGACCATCTGTCAGGTATATTAAAAGGGACATTCCTTTGGGGTGCATGAGTTGAATTAGAGGGTTTCTGAGGTACCTTCCAAATAGGAAATTCTGTAATGCTATGATTTTCTAGCCTGCCACTTCCCCACACACACACACTTCATTTTACAGCATTATTTCTTATATCCAAATGTAGTCTTCAGGAAAATTCTCCAGAGCATTCTGATCAATATTTTCCCCAAGGGGCAGGATCCATAGCACTGGTTGCTGGTCATCTTGGCTCAGATCCTCAAAATCACCTCTGATGTTCTCTTTTCCTTACCTCCCATGTTTAATCAGTTGGTAAATCCCATTGGTCCTAAGTCACGTAAAAGTCTTACCTATTTCCCCCCCTTCTAGTCCCACTACCAACACTCTAATGTGGGCCCTCACACTTGTCCTCCTGTCTCCCTGCCTTGAGGTTCTCCTCTCACCAGTTCCTCCATGTGACCTGGATGTCAGATTAATTTTCTTAATGCACTTTTTTAAAAATAGCACTCTTCTACTTCCTAAAGAGCTTTCTAAAATAGAGGTCACTCCATTAAAAAAAATAAATATATGCCTCATTTTCATTCTCAATTGCGTCATAGATCAAGCTGAAAAGGGACTTGGAGTTCATCCAGTCCAGCTCCTTCATTTTAAAATTGAAGAAACAGACTCAGTGTGGCAAAACAACCATCAGATAGCTAACAATTGATGGAGCCAGAATTTGAACTCAGGACTTCTGACAGTAAATCCAACCTTTCCCCTATATCGTGCTACCTCTCCTTTGCCCAGCTAGCTTCTATGAAAGATCTTCCAGAGTTGGCCTTTCAGCATTACATCACATTCCTCCCCCTTTATGTTCCCTACTTTCCAGCCAAAGTCTACTTCTCATCATTCTCTTCTCTCAGATTAGTATCTTTGCTCACCATGAGCTTTAAACCTGGAATGTATCTCTCCCACTATCACCAAAATACCCCCACTTCCTAGTGTCCCTGTTTCTATTGAGGGATCAACAGAAGGACCAACATCTTTCCAGTCTGCAAACTCAAAATCACCCTCAACTCTTCCTTCTCTCTGAGCTCCCCCTTATACCCAAGTCTTGTCAATTTTTCCTCCTCAACATCTCTCAGAATCTGTTCTCTTTTCCATGCACATAGATGCCATCTAGTTCAGACTCTCATCACCTCTTCCCTGTACTGTTATAATAGCTTCCAAATCAGTCTCCCTACTTTAAGTCGTTGCCCTCACCAACCCATCCTCAACATGGCTGCCAAATGGACACTCTAAAAGCACAGGGAGCACCATGTTACTCTCCTACTCGATAATTTTGAATGGTTCTCCTTATTGCCTCTAGAATCAAATAAAAACTCCTCAACTTGGCATTAAAAGCCCTTCACAACCTGTCTCTAACTTACCTTTCCAGAATTATTACATATTACTTCTCTTCATGTACTCTGTGGTGCAGCCAAACCAGTCTATTCCCCATTCCCCCATTACAACATCTCATAGCCCATCTCCTTGACTCTACATCTTCAATTTCACCTCTTATAATCTTTAGCTGCATTCAAAACTCAAACTCATTGCCATCTCCTACCAGAAGCCTTTTCTGATCCCCTCAGTTGCTAGTGCTCCCCAATAATTTTGTATTGACTTTGTATTGCAGCATTTGACACTGTTAACCTCCCTCTCTTATGGAGTATGCTCCTTTCTAGGTTTTCACGATTGGCCTTCCTTGGTTCTCCTCCAACCTTTCCGACTGACCCTTCTCAGTCACCTTTCCTGGACCATCATGACAGTCTTCCATGTCCTACTCCCTAACTGTGGGTATACATCAATACTTTGTCCTGACCCGCCTGATGTGTTTGTATGTTGTTTCCCAAAAAAAATATGAACTCCTTGAAGACAGGTACTGTTTTATTTCTGTTTCTGTGTTCCTCGGACTGGCAGGTGCTTAATTAATGTTTGTTGAATTGTAAAGGCAGGGGGAGTTTAGGAGAGAGAGAGACAGAAAGAGAGAGAGAGAGAGAGAGAGAGAGAGAGAGACAGAGAGAGAGATGGGAATAAGAGCAGTGACAGAATGCCAACAAAGGTAGTTGTAGTCCTGTAACAAGAAACAAGATAGGCAACATACAACAATGGAAAGGCATCAGGCCTTGGAGTCAGGAAGACCTAGCTTCAAGTTCTGTCTCACTCACACTACTTGTGTAACCCTGAGCAAGTTACTTAATATCTTCAGGCCCCAGGCAACTCTGTAAGAATATAAATTGCAGATCTACAAATTGAGGAAGTTTTCCATGTGAGGACTTGCCTACACTAACTGGGGGAAGATGATAACTAAGATGAATAGGAGCCCAGGGCTCTACATCCCATCTGGAAAGGGTACCACTGAGCTCCTTTTCTAAGCCATTTTCTGCTGCTGCTCCTTCCTTTCTGTCCATCACCTTCTCTACTCTCTCTTGCATTCTAAAACTATGTATTTAGAAATGAGGGAGGGGTAGGGGAATGAAATGGGTCTGAGTTAGGAATGGAGGTGGGTGGCATAATGAGCATTTGCAAGGAGTGGGAAAATGCATGACCCCACACTTGCCACTGTACCCTCCTAGCAGGGGCAGATTTAAAGTAATTTTCTACAGGATTTCCTGTAGTTATTCTTTTGAATCTCCTAGTATCCAATAATGCCCAGTGCTTCCCAACTTCCTAAAACAATGGTTCTTAAACTTTTCTAATATTTTGATAATTTCGGTTGTATGGAATTAGCTTCCTTTATAATCCTCTGTATTTTATTTTATGCATTTAAAAACATGATTCTGAGAAGGGGTCCACAGAGTTTCAGACTGCCAAAGGAGTCTCACACACACACACACACACACACACACACACACACACACACACACACACACACACAGAGTTAAGAACCTATCAGTTCAAGCCAAATTCCTCAGCCTGTCATTCAAGGCTTTCTACAATCTTATCTCCCATTCTTCTCCAGATACTGACACCTGCATTGTCGTCTGCATATACCAGAGCAATCCCTGCCTCTGTGCTTTCATTCATGTTGTCCATCTTGCCCATCCTAGATTCCCTTCCTTCTTCTCCCCTCCCCCACCATTCTTCCTGTTCTGTTCATGCCCTAACTATACTACAAGATCCTTCATTAGTCCTACTTCCATTATGAGGCCTTTGTGTTCTAACTCTTAATTACCATCAGTCTCTCTCCAACCTGCATTTATGGTCTATTATAACAATAGTAATAGCAATGACAGCAATAATAATAATAATAAAGCTCACATTTATACAATGCATTGAGATTTACAAAGCACTTTTTCTCACAACAAAGCCATGAAGGGGGGGAAGCTTTGGTATTACATGTATTGGCACTTAATAATAGAGAATTCTATTTAGGGATGCTTTTGTATTGTCTTAGGCCAGGTACACACTGACCCCAAATGCAAGTTCAGATCTTGGAGAGACTGAATCGATGACGCAGTTTTTTTTAACTTTTTTACTAAATACACTCAGCGTCGAGTGACATCTCTCCAGGTCCATGCCCATGGAAATACACCCAAGTCAATAAAAATAATAACCCCAGGGAACAAACAGTCCATGAGGTCAGAAGAACTACACCTCCCCCATACCGGCTTACCTGAGATTCACCAAAAAGTGGGCTTTAGTGCGTTCTGACTATATAACTAAGAACCATTCACAAAATTTCAATCACCATTACCATGCACTGTTAGTCAGCCCCTTTGTGCCTAAATCCTGAGCAGAATCACTAACAAGTCATTCCAATTCTTGGTCGTAGTCCCAGTGTAGTCACACCAAGAACACTATCATGTTTTATGTCTAATGGCAAAAAACTAGGTCTTTGGTTCTACATACCAAGAGACAAAACATCCGCGGGGTATAACACATGAGGCACACTACAAAAGAATTATTTAAATCAATCACAGACAAAACCATAACTACCTTGCAAAATGAGAACATTTGTGGTGTCAGCAAGATCAAAGACCAGTCAGAAGGTCACAGTGGAACCGCAAGCCAGCCAGAGACAGCACCAGGAAGACAGCGACCAGGACCAAGAACTCAAAAGATGTCACTGCCTCAAAGCATCTGTAAAATGACAAACAAAAACAGAAGCTAAGGATTAATCATTCACTTGCTTGCTACTTGCTCCTCAACCTTAAGTATTTCCTCTTCCTTCTCTTTGTCACCTATTCTACATTCCCTGGTCCATTGGCTACCTACCACTCCTCCCTCATAAGGACGTTCAAATTCTCTGGTGAGTGAAAACACACTTTCACGACTGGAATATAATGATCCCCAAATTTCTTTGAGGGTCCTCTTGGCCACCCATTGACTTTTATCCTTGGATTTGGGAAAAAGGATTAATTGGGCAACACCTCTTTCTAGCTCCCACTTAACTTCCACCTTACCTAAGTTGTGCTGGGTACAAGAGTCACTTGCACTTCTCCCATATGGTGAGGACTTACTATCCCAATCTCTCCACTGCCAAACAGTCCTTGACTTTCATGGGGATTATTTGCCCAAACCATCTGAGGGGAAAGGTAAACTTGAGATTGTAGGGATTATCCTGCATTTCTTCCGAAGGTAAGGTGTCTGCATCTGGTGTTTTTCAGTGTCAGTCCCATAGCTCCCAACAAAGCTGAAGTAGGGATGAGAAATGCTTCCTGAAGTCCTACATTGAACAGCAGTATATCCTCACCATCTACTTCTTCATACTTCTATAGCTTGTATTATTGTTATTCAGTCATTTTTCAGTTGTGTCCAACTCTTCGTGACTCCATTTTGTGGTTCTTCTTGGCAAAGATATTGAAATGAAGGAGGGACAGCTAGGCGGCACAGTGGGAATAAAGCTCTGGCCTTGGAGTCAGGAGGACCTGAGTTCAAATCTGGCCTTGGACACTTAACACTTACTAGCTGTGTGACCCTGAGCAAGTCACTTAATCCTAATCGCCTCATCAAAAAGATTCATTTTACAGATGAAGAACCAAGGCAAATAGGGTTAAGTGACTTACCCAAGGTAATATAGTTAGTAAGTGTCTGAGGCCAGATTTGAATTCATGAATAACAGTCTTCCAGACTCCTGGTGTTCTATCTACTATGCCACTGAATTTCCCTTAGTTTATTTAACCTGTCCTTATTTTGGGGTCTCTGTGACTAAAAGCCAAGCACGCAATTTAAATCACTAGTGCAAGCTACACCCTAAAGAGATCAAAGAAAGAGAAAAAGAATCCATGTATGTAAAAATGTTTATGGAAGCTCTTTTTTCTTATGGAAAACAACTAGAAAGTAAAATTCATCAACTGGAGAATGGCTGAAGAAAATATGGTTCATGAACGTAGTAGAGCAGAAAAGGGGGGGGGGGGACAGTTCCAGAAAAGAAAAGAAAAAAGACTTGAGAAGACATATAAACTGATGCAGAGTAAAATGAGCAGAACCCAAAGGACACTTTCTATATAACAACAGTATAAAGGGCAAGGAGGGACTTAGAAAAACTTAAGAATTCTCATCAACTCAGGACCAACCATGATTCAACTTCTGATAATGAAACATACTATCCACCTCTTAATCATTGAGGTGTGAGATTCAAGGTACAGAATAAGACACATTCTCCAATATAACCAATGTGGGAATTGCCTTGCTTGACTGTGCGTATTTATCACAAAGATGTTATTATTATTGCTGTTTTCAGGAGAGGTTATGGGGAGGGGAAGAAGGGTTAAGGATAGAGTAGCCATTGAAAAAAGAAAAGTTCATAGAAGCATTTTTCAAATGCACAGAAAAAAACAAAAAGACAAAAGAGAGGCCAGAAAGGACCACAGAGAAGCTGGATAGCTCTAAAAGTTACGTATTGGATTTGTTAGGGTTAGAAAAGAATTTGGAAAGCAAAGTAGTCTGTGCACAATAAAGATTCAAGTAAAGTTTCATGTACAAAGCCTTTTTTTTCTGTTCTACTATATACATGAGAATGCCATTTTATTGAGAGTTTGCTAAGTTCCGAATAAAATAAATTAGTTCATTTAACAAAATAAGTCACTAATGCCAAGCAGCCTTGTTAGTCTCTTAGCATCCAAAACCTGAACATTTCAAATAACAGATAGATAGATATAGATATGTATGTGTGTATGTATATAACATTTTGTATATATAGTCACATATCTACATATGCCTATTCATATATGTGTACCTAGATACATATGTATTAATGTATTCGTCACTAATCGTTTAATAGATGTGAGTCTAGTTTCCCAACACCATCATATGCCTCCCTCTGGCTCCTTCTCATTTCTTGCACTCCCACTCTCTCCTGGCTCCTGCTTCTTGACTCCTATAACCTGAAGGATCGGGGCTAACAGATGTAAGACAGTATGGTAGAGGTACAACAAGGACTTCTTAAACATAGCAGATGCTTTTAAAATATTTTAAACTGGGTTGAGTTTAATTGAGAGTCCTGCAGATAGATTATTTTGACCTTAGAATCAGGAAGATATAAGTTCAAAACTCACCTCTGTAAGACTATGGGCAAGTCATTTAATATACAGCTTCTTCTTTCTAAAAAAGGGGCACAATAATACCTATTATAACACTTACTTCAAAGACTTGTGTGATCCTCAAATGGGATAATGTATATAAAGCATTTTGCTCTTTGGGAATATAAATGAATGTTAAGAGGCATTACTGTGGTGGATACAATGTGAATCAGGAAAACCTGGGTTCAAATTGCAATCTCTTTGCATCTTGACAGTTCCCTAGGACTTAACCTATAAATTTGTAGATAGATTATTATCTGCATTGATGGAAGGAATTCCCGTTGCTTGGTAGGCTCGGAGTCAGGAAGACCTGAGTTCAACTGGCCTCAGATATTAGCCATGTGAACCTAGACAAGTCTCACATAACCTCTGGCTGCCTTAGTTTCCTCAACCATAAAATGGGAATAATAATGGCATCTACCTCACTAGGTTGTTATGAGGATCAAATGAGATAATATGTATAAGGCAATTTGGAAAATTTAAATATTATATTAATTCTAGCTCTTACTATTCTTAGTTCTATCAGCTATTATAATCAGTAATTTCCCATACTGATGAAATCATAGATATTTAAAATATAAATATCAGTAAAATTGTTATTATTTACTACTAATAATAAATTGTTACTATTCTTCCCCTGCTCTTCCCCTCAAAATACCAGGGAAATCTTTGTTACTGGCTATCTTAAGAGGCCTCCTGCTATAATGCTGGTGAAGGGGTTAAATTGGATCCAAACTCTGATACCGACCTGGTGACTGAAGGGAAGCTGTGAGGACTGGTCTGCTGCTGCTTCTCCACCCCTTGCTTGATAGGGTAACATGACAACATTCTAAGGAATAAAGGTAAACTTCCCTAGAGAAGGGAGGAAAAAGGAGGCTTAGAAGAAAAATAATGAAGAAGACTTAGAACTGGTACTAAGACATAGAGTCCAAGGGAAGGGAGACCAGAAGCTGTAATCTTAAGACTTATTTCCCATACGCAGTCAAGGAGGGAACCCCAGGGTTATGACAGGTGTCTGAAGGCTTTGGGGAAACAAAATGAGAGGATCGTACAGGGTTCTACTAGTTGCCATGATGGCTGCATTTAACGTATAAAAGAGGCCTAATAGAGGAATTCCAAGTTTTATTATTCCTGCTTTAATGGAACTTCTATTCGGTTCTCTTGTATTACCTCAGTTGCCATTGCTTCTATGAACTAGTCAGTGGAGCTGAGCTTGTGGTCATGGGTAGTGGGTAGGGATGTGCCAATAAATTAACAACAGACTCTCTACAGGGAAGCTGTACAGCATACTGTTAAATTAAATTTGCTTTATTAACATTCTCCCCATCAATTTTTAAAAATCTAAACAATCAATAAAACAACAAATCTAGCCTTGATTTGCAATATTTGCTGATTTCTGAAGTACATGTGCTCACATTGAAGAGTTAACAGTTGTCTCTCTTGAGCCAGTAAAAGCATTTCCAGGACACCGCTAGTTATGGAGTTGACCTGGGTTTAGATGTTACACAGGATGTAGCATCATAGATTTAGAGCTGGAAAGGACCTCACAGACCATCAAAGGCAATCCCTTTATTTTACAGATGAGGAAACTGAAGCCCAAAGTCATGCAAGTGGTTAAATAACAGAAACAGGATCCCAAGTCCAGTTCCTCTATCTCCTAAGTGATCAATAAAGTCTTGGACTGGTCACTGTCTGTCTCCACCTCAATGGCAGTGGTGGTCTTAGTATGTCACTGATTAGTGACAGTTAACTTTCTAGCACAGTGAATGAAGGTGAAAGGGGAAAACTGGGTTTTGCACAAAAACAAATGTTCTTAACCTTTTATGAATGAATGAATGAATGAATGAATGAATGAATAAACAAGTGAGTGAGTGAAGCATTTATTAAGTGCTTACTTTGTGCAAAGGACGGTGCTAAGCACTGGTGAGGCCAATGACTTTGCACAGCTCTGCCTCACTTAAATCCAATTCACTTGCAAGTCAAGACATCGCCCTCCTGATATCATTGGTCTTCTTTGAGAATGACACGTAATAATGCTAAGCACTGGGAGATACAAATAGAAAAGATAGTCCTGCTCTCAATGAACTCATATTCTAATGGAGAAGACAACACATATAGAAGGATTAAGCCTAAAGTCAGATAGAAAGATCCCAAGGTCCTGGGGGTACAATAGCAAAGGAGATGGTTCTATCTCTTCTTTGATGTCATTTCCACTGATAAAATCATATCAGTTTCTGAGGTTGAACCATTTGACTATGCCAAGGACTTTGGTAGTGAGAACTTTCTTTTCTGAGTCCTCAGTAGATGTGACTGTAGTACCTGCAAGAGCAGTTACTGGGCCTCTTGAGATGATGACTAAAAGTATTATTCTGGAAGCATTAACATTCCCAAGGCTCTTGGGTTCAGGGGCTGGAGTCTGAGGAAAGATGGTGATCAAAGTGATGGTTGGTGGTTCACTTTGCCTGACACATGCTGCCTCCTCTTTCATCCTCAGAGTGCCATGCTTCTTCAGTGAGGCTGACCTGCTTGCCATTGACCCCTTTAGCAGTCTGGTGAAGCCTATGGACAGTTTCCCTGAATAATGCTTTTAAATGCATAATGCAAAGTATTATAATGGAAAGAAATTATGTTGAAATCATTCAAAAAATGTTAGTGGATACCAAATTAAGAACCCCTGCCTTAATAGGACTTCAAGTGTTACCCACAGATACTTTCCTACTGGGCTTAAAAAAGGATTAGGTAGGAGATTAAACCTGACAGCTGACTCTATGAGCAGGGGAGTGGAGAGAAGGACAATTCCAAGTCCTTAGAGGGTTGATCTCAGGATAGAGAGCTAGCAGATATGGGGTTCACTAGAGACCTTCTACAGACTAGATGTGGCCAGGGCAGAGGAGATGGGCATAGGTACATATTTCTGGACCTCCTACATAAACAGAAAGCACTTAAGAACCTTCCCTTTGTGGGGGAGGTGAGGGAATGCTTCCCTGGTCCTCACTGCGTCTGACTAAAAGGTGACACTTTAGGGCCCCAAACCTTCGAGAAACAGAGCATAGGCTTCTCCTGGATAGAAAATACTTCTTTTCAGTATGTTCAGCCCTTGAGGAAGGATAACACAATTCCTGGGAAGCCCTCAAGAGAATTGGTAGACTAGGAAACCTTCCTCCAGACCACACTCCAGCTCTATGACTGAATTTGTCCCAGATGCCAGAATTCCTAGAAATTTTTAGAAAGTAGCAGAAAGGGGGCAGCTAGGTGGTGCAATGGACAGAGCCCTGGCCCTGGATTCAGGAGGACCTGAGTTCAGATCTGACCTCAGACACATAACACTTACTAGCTGTGTGACCCTGGGCAAGTCACTTAACCCCATTGCCTAACCAAAAAAAAAAGAAAAGAAAAGAAAAAAGAAAGTAGCAGAAAGGCAATTTCAGTGTTCAGGTAAGGTAATGTTTACAAAGAATTTTGGAAAGGGCAAAATGAAAAGAATTCTCTTATGGGCACTGCTTTACAGGGTTAATGCTTCATGGGAAGACATCCTGGAACTTTGCAGTCACAAAAACAGGCTAGAGGATATGAGTAATCAATAGTACGTACTTACATGGTGTCAAGTTATGGAAGTCACATTGGACTCCAAGGTAATTAGAACCTGAAAGAGCAAGTGAAACAGAAAATGGAGCTAGAATTTGGGAGAGTACCATGCTTGTCCCTGATACTGGGACTTAGTGAGCTGAAAATGTCAACAGCTAACTAAAGGAAAGAAGACCTAGAATGTGAGAGAAATCTTGGAAACCTCTTGACTATCCTTGAAACTGGGCAAATAGCAGGATGCTGGTTAAGATGCAAGAGAAAACACTTAAGGGTAAAGTGTGGTTTGGGGGAACCCATGAAAAGAGAGGTGACTTTTCTAACGATGTGTGCATTTCATCTCACAAGTTCTGGATGGTGGTGTAAATGTGGTTCTCTAAGATTCATCTAAAGTTAATATCGATTTAATAACTTAATTGAACAATTAATGTTCATCTAAAATTAATATCAACTAGGCCCTCATTACTTCACCCCGCTCCTTTTATTTTTCCTTGGCTGATTCTCTATCCCCCTCCCCTCTATGGCTGTCTCAAATCTTCTTTTCTCGAGTTCCTATCACCACACCTACTCTCCTCTTTGAGCAGATGTGAAGATATCCTCACTTCCTATTTTACTGAGAAAATTGAAGTGTTCTTTTCTAAATTCTCTCATCTTCCCTATACCATACTTCAAAACCCCTCTCCATCTTTACCTGCCCTTTCTTCCTCTTATTCTAGTATCTGATGGAGAGGCAATCTTTCTCCTTGCTGTGGCCAATCTCTATTTGAGTCCTCAATCACCTCCCATGCCATATCCTCCAAGAGTTTGTTTCATTGATCATGTTATTTCTTTCTCAAATTCTTATCTACTTGTTCTTTCTTTGCTTCCTAAACATTGACTCAGATCTGTTTCATACTTTTAAAATCTTTACTTGACCTGTAATCTCCTCAAACCAATGACCTATATCTCTCCTCCCTTTTACTGCCACACTCATAGAAAGGGTACTCTACATATCCCATGTGAATACTTTAGATTCTTGTACCCAGAATGCAATGGCACTTATTCAGAGAATCAATAGGGGACCCCTTTGTTGCCCTACATCAGGGGGTAGCAGAAGGGGAAGAGGGAGGAATAATAGATGTGAGCCATTCTCTCATGACCATAATGGAATTCTTCCCAAAGGAAATGGAAGGAGCACTTGGCATGGACTGCTGGTGTTGGAAACCTGCCGATTGGCAGGTGAAGTGGCGCTGGAGGGATGATGCTTCTCACCAAGAAACAATGCTCTATTCCCAAGGAGGGACCACAATTGTTAGGGCAAGAGCTGATGAATACTGGACTATGCTGGTAGTCAATTATACATTTGCAAAGGGAGAGGCCAATTGTAATCCTAAACTTGTTGCAGGGGCGTTATTAGAAGCCTGGGTACCAGGACATCATAAAAATAACCATGGCAGGCTGCTGAAGGGGATGGAGGAAGAGTACTCAACTATTCCCTGCAAGTGGTTCACTTTTCACCAAAAACCATTATATTAAATAAAAAGTATGAAAGTCAAGGAGATAAACTGGCTGGAAGACTAGAGTGAATAAAATAGGTTTGGTCATAAAATGGCTCAGAGAGAAGTCAGGTAGATTACACCTCTAGGTCTTTCCCCAATCCTTGCTTTGTAGGTAACATAGCAACATTTTAGGAATTGAGAACTAGGATAAACTTTGGAAAGAATTATTTAAAATCAATCCTTGGACTATATCAGCAGATTTAAACTGGAAGGGACCATGAGAATCACCTAACAGAAACCCTTCATCTTACAAATGATGAAACTGAAGCCCAGAGAGTTTAAGTGGTTTGCTCAAGGTCCTCAAAGGTAGTAAATAGCAGAGCCCAGATTTGAGGCCAGATCCATTTTTTCAATCTCTAATGATAGTTCCACTATGCCACACTGCCCTTTGGCTCTGTTACTATAGATCCCAAGCTCAGAACTTACATCCTTTACTGAGTAGGCATCTTTCTTCAATCAGGAACCTCAGGTACCTACTGCCTACTTATGGCAGGAAGTGCCCAGATCCCACTTATCAGGAGGCAGGGTTTTCCCCAAACCAAAGCCTACCACTAGATTCTATATGATCTCCTTTCTCAAAAAAGAAACATCTCAGATTTCTGGACTGGACCCATCAATCATTTAGGCCCAATTGGGGTTAAAGGAATTTTTTTGCCTACCTAAGATCAGATCCCTTCTTTCACCAGAATCTTTCTTTACCTTAGAGTGCGGTGATGACTCCGAGTCCTTAAAGACTATGCTAGCAGAATTATAAATTCTTACAGACTCAACAGACTAGAAAGCCATCAGATATAGGCTTCCCAGTGGACATCATGACCAGTCCAGTCAAACTGAGAGAAGCTCATCACTGTGCTCACTGTACGATTTTTCAGTCATAGCAAGCCCTGTGGGTGGAGGGAATACCCATACCCACAAACTCATGAATCTCTGTAGTATTTCAGAAGCAGTAAGGTCAGGCACACACAAAGCAGGAAACAAAAACAAGCTAAATGAATACAGCAAACCAAGACGTTTAGTGTCTAGGTACAAAATTGGCATTCATTAGCAATTATTTCTGGACGTTGTGCTACCTTCTCCATCTGCCTCCAGCTTCTTATTCCTTCTTTCCATTAGTTACCAGATTCCCATGCCATCTTCCACCAAGATTGACAGCTGTGAAGATGGACATCTGCCCTACTTTTATACCATGTTCCAGGCACTGTGCTAAGTACTTTACAAATATTATCTCATTTGATTCTCACAATGACCCAGAGAAGTAGGTGCTATGCTTGTTCTCCTATCACAGTTAAGGAAACTGAAGCAGATAGATGTTAAGTGACTTGCTCAGGGTCATACAGCTAGTAAGTATCTGAAGCTGGATTTGAACTCACCCCCAGCTCTAAGAGGGAAGTAGATGAATTATACTGCAGAACCGAAGTCAGAAGGAAAGGCTCGGAGAACAGGAACATGATACAAACTTGTAGGGAGTAGATTTCTTGGGATACTTGTTTAACAGCTTCCTTCAGTGAGGGTCCCAAAGGGCATGTCTGTCAAGAATGAGAGGTGAGAGGCTTTGCCCTAATCTAGCCTCCAGCCC